ATAGGACAATAGAGCCTTGAGGTCGGGTGTAATGAATGCGACCATGGTGTGTCTCAAAGTTGCCAAAATTCTGCGCTACGTAGTGCTATACCTATCCCGCCAAACACCGACCAAGCCTCGTTGCATAGCTGAGGTGCGCAGACTTTTAAGGCCTGCGACCCCTGAAATACCTTAACGCCGTCCGGCAGCGCCCATCCCATCCCCTCCCATTGTACTTAACAATGTCTTATCGCCACACTTTATTGAAGGACCGAAAATAAGGTTCAGACAAGGAGTATATGCTTCTGTAAATAGTTGGGTTTCCTAGCAGAAACCTGGTTGAATGCTTTGTGCAATCGGAGTGCCGACAAGCCCTTTTTCTAAAACTGGCCGTACTCGCAAAAGTAAAAACTCAAATTTGACAGTTTTACGTGCCAAACCAACGACAGGCATCTGGCATGCCCCAGCGGAGGACTGAGGATTAATTTCGGCCATTTGGGGATCTTTTGACGTGCAACTTGGAGCTCAAACCTACGGCATCTGTAAGGCATATTCTTTGCAATAAGCCTTCGTCAGATTGCGGGCACCTCGGCCGGGATTCGGACCTGCCATCTAAGGATCTGTAGGTCAGCGCTTTGCCTCGGAGCCACCGTGGCGGCTAGTACTCGCACCGTTTCTTCAACCAAAAGGTTTTCGACGTCGAGTGCTTAAATCTGCCTCCAGCGTGCCATCTGAGGAGAAGGCAATAGACCCTTTTCGAAATTTCGAAATGATGCATAGATTATGTGCGGCCTCCATTAGTTGGTCATGCACCATGAGCACGCATTGGACACGAGCGCTTCGTCAGCATTCGGAGCACGCTTGCATTGAAACGCATTCCACACGAGTGCTGCGTTGGTACTCGCTGCAAACTCTGAACCAATCACAAGCTTCACGCTGGAAGCAATAAGACCAACTAGTGGCAGCTGCACATAATCTATGCAAAATTTTGCAATTTCGGAAAGGGTTCATTAAGATCTCGATTACCGCGTGGGCAACAGCGCCATGCTGGAGTGTTTTGGCTCATAATTTTTTGGACGCCTCCGCCGTCTCGTGTTTTTCACGGCACGCAATCTCTTCTATGGTTTGACAATGGTGCCCGGAACATGTCTCTGACTGGTGCGTTTAGTGTCCTATTCCATTCATGCATTGAAAGTGGTCCCGAAGTGGCAACAAATGACGTCGCAAAGATTGGAGTGTCGTGCCGTCAAAAAACGTTAGATGTAAAAGTTTTGGAGAAAAAAAAAAAGCACGAGGGAGTGCGAGTGTCACTGTTGTCGTGGCATATCCCAACTCCTAAATGCCGAAGCTTCCATGGACCATTAAGCTGGAGAGCAACCTGCAGCAAACTGGGCATTGGTCACATCCACCACCACTGCGACAGTGCCGGAATCGCGGCCGGCTACAATGTGACATTTCTACAATGTCGTTAAGCAAAAAATGGAAGGACCGTTTTTTACGACGCGGTAAACGTGCCCGTCGGATATGCCTTCCAGGCGCCGAAGGTGTGACCAAATGGTGCCACTCCTGTTTTTTTCATTATTGATATGCTATGCACACCGCTGTGGCTGCTGGCCCTTTTGTGCCTCTATGCTCTTCTAAACTGCCATTCACTATTACTGTAAGTGCGCCATGAAGTGGAGCTGAAGAAGGCTTTCACCTCAAAGTTGGTAGTAAAATATTCGGAGCAGCATCAAAGCGCTATCAGCAACTTGACTTTCTGCAGTCCCCGCGACCCCCATTTTGTGCATCTCTGGCATATCTGGGGCGCAAGTTTGTCTGCTTTTTTGCAGGGATTGTGGGGACGTCAGAACGCCAAGCTCTGATTGGTTCTGCTTGAAGGATGGTAGGAAGACCTCAAGGCAGAATGCCTTGAGTTCCCCACTATCCTTTAACCAGAGCCAATCGCAGCTTGGCGTTCTGACGTCACCACAACTCCTACAAAAAAAGTAGACAAACTTGCACTCCACATAGCATCAGCACAATTAAAAATAGTTTCATGCAAAGGACATAAATACAAGTTAGTGGTCTCTAGTTACAGTCTAAGCAGCAGTGCAAACAAAAAAAAATATCAAAGGCAGTGCTAGGTATGTACAGCACCCCCCAAATGGAGGGGAGTTGCCCAGTTTTGATGCTATCGTAAATGCTATGGTGTTCCAACTTTCTGGTTTCATTCTAACTGCTTGGTCACTATCCAGCTTAGGGAAGGTATTCTGGCCAATCCAGTTGCTGAGTGATTACCGAGTTGTGTGTAATCTTTCAGCGTTTTATCATTTGCATGGAGGTATGGCCAGATGGGCCATGGCTAGCAATAAGGAAGTTTGTTTGTGTGCCATTTTGGTTGCCTTAAGGGAGCTTACATGCGTCGAAATGGACCAAGTTTCTGGCTAAGCTAGATTTAAAAAAAAAGCTAGTCAGTTCAGTGTTGCTTGTTCTTCAGAAAAGTTTGGAATTTGGTTAAGGTTGTTGATGTTGGTCTATATCACTTGCATTCCTATAGCAGTAACCCATGCTGGGATCTTTAAAATATGCTTTATATGCTCTGTAAAATCTACTTCCAATACCATTGATTTCTATTGCTCTTGGGCAAAGTACCACCCCAAAAACTCCCTGTTTGGAGAGTTGGAGTCTTGACCAAGGTACTTGCATTAAAGGCTTATTGTGGTATAGGCACCATGTTACTGAGCTTGCATTTGCTAGAATGATGTGCCAGTGGCCTAATAAGGTAATCTGTAGCTGTTTTTTTTTTTTTCTTGGCTGTGCCAGGTGCCTTTTGTTGGTTTCTCATGTAAATACCCAAAGTTTATTGTTTTAGATTTCTAGTATGCAAAGCATGCTTCTATACCATGCTCAGCACTTAGCTTCAGATGTTCACTGCAAAATAACATGCTTATAAATTTATGCTCTATTATTCATTCTTCATATGGCAGTGCTAAGCGCAATATTGAGTGTGAAAAAGAAATAGCATTGGTTGGAAATTTTTGACAGTTTGGCCAAGTGAGGTCAGGTGCCGCTTGTCTAAAATAAAAATGCTGTACAAAAATCTTGAACAATCGGGGCAATCGCCTTCTGTCTTGTGCTAAGCCTGGTTTAGGCATGATCCTATGCTGATGCCCCCTTTTGAGTGAGCATGGAATATGGGCAGTAAGAACTCCTGGTGTCATGCAGAAAGCATGAGTCCTTGGGAGATTTGTACTAGTGCAATATTGTTAAATTTTGCATTACTCGACACATTATCATGGGTCTGCAGAACCGGTAAAGAAGGATGAAGTGCAATAAACACAAAGCTAGGAAAAAACATTTAAGTTGTCAGATTCCCGAGTTTTCTGCACTGTTTAAATGGCGCCTCTCCCCCCCGCAGATAGGCCCTGCGCCGATTCCAGGCCAGCCCCAGGCCCTCCTCCTGAGCTAGCACCTGCCTTGCTTGCATATGTTAGTGCACTTGATTAAGTAGAGCAGAAAATGTTTGTGTTGAAGGTACTCCACTAGGAAGCCCATTCCTTTCCTGCTTCTTTAACCTCTACTGCTGCTTGGAATATTCCTCCCATTTGCTGGTTTCATCCAGAAGAGCACACTTTAGATAGTTCTGTTTTGCTTACAGCATCAGCTCACATTTGCTTTTCGACTAATTAAGTGTTTTTAAATGTTAGTAATAATTTAAATAACATTAATCAGAAGTGATTATTTTTGGAGAGCATTTGAGATAACTTGCCATATATCTTGATGCTAAATCAGAACTTTGTTCCCTTAAAAATGAGTTAAATGTAGATTAAAATTTAAAAAAAAAAAAACTGTATATTTTTTAACTTTTTTTTTTTTAAATTACAGTTGCCTCACTTATGCAGAGCCTCATAATTTAGAATATTTGTTCATTCGAATGCACCAGCATTGTTATGTTTATTTTCTATACATATTTATATAACATTTTCTTTCATTCATTTCAAGTTGCTATGTGTAACCTTAAGGAAACGATTGTGTAAACTTAGACTGGTATGGCATTCAAACTTCTCATTGGCAAAGCCACTTCACTGAGGTAATTATGGTGCAAACAATATACAGAGTGACGCAGCTGGTATCAATGCCACAGTAGCACTTTTATAGCTTTTTATTTATTTATATATTTATTTAAACATGCAGGCCAAAAGGCTCTGGCAGGAGTAGCCAACACACTTGCGTACAGTTCAATGTAAACACAAAAAATATATTTTTTATACATGTTAATGTTGAAGACCACATTTTACTATGGTGGCACCACCTGACATATGCACATTTGTAACTTCCACTAGACCACTAGTTTTGATGACATTTTTCACCCATGCGAGAGAAATGAGAAAAAAACTGGCCATTGCATGTTCGGGCTAACTGTTCTGCACCCTGTAGTATGTGCTGCAGTTCCTCGGCTCAGTTGCAATGTCGAGTTCGAGAAAACAGAAATGACAACCCTCTCCTATTGATAAACTAGAAAAATAAAATGAAAACAGCAGCGTGACCTTGCTTCTGAGCAGAGGTAAAAAGGGGGGGGGGGGGGGGAATTGCCTCCCCCCCCCCCACTAGACGTTTCATAATTTTCAAGTAAACAATATGGGTGAGGGGGAGGAAAATTTCTTTTGCCCTATGTTCTCCCGAATAGTTCCAACGCCTCTGTACTTCCGGTACTTATAAGGATGTTTCTTGCAGTCATGCAAAAAACATTCTTTACCTTCACTTCTTTTGTTGATCATCCATAATTCAAAATGTGGTGCCTCAAACAAAGCCTAGCAGTGCCTTCAACTTTTAATTATACCTATTTGAATTACTATTACTTCACCATAAATGCGCTGTTTCACGAAGTCTGCATTTGTTGTCTTTGCCACATCGAGTTTTGCCATACAAAGGGCTTTTGTGATAGTTGAACTGGAATGTTGAGGCTTTTGCAGCACATTGCAGTTGCTTTTGACCTCAAATTAAGTGTGACCCTCTTGACCTCTCTCTCTTACATGGAGTGCAGCAACTGAGCAGCGAAGGCTAGCAGACTGCGTGTCCAACGGGACTTGTGCTGGCGGCATCGGTGGTGGCAGTGGCAAATGGCACAAGGCCCGTGAGGACAGCAGCAGCAGGCGTGGTGCTGGCCTGCCCTGTGCCCCGTCTCTGGACCTCCAGCTGGACCAGAGCTGCTCACCTCTGACCATTCCTTCTCCCACGTCGTTCCCCTACCGCTGCGTGGTCTGTGGCTTCTGTTCTTTCACCCAGGACACGATGATTGGGCACATGCGGCTGCACTCTGGCGAGACGTTGCGGTGTCGGGCCACGGACACGTGCTGCCGCTATAGCACCCCGTTTGAGGAGGTGCTGTGCAAGCATGTGGGGACCGAGCATGGCGATGACCATGCAGTGGCCCGTTGCCCGCACTGCGGGCTCCCTTGCGGTAGTGCTCAGGTGCTGGCACGGCACGCCGCGGAGGGCCACCACGGCGCCATCCCTAGAGGCCGCTGTGCCGACTGTGCCGCCACTCTCCTGCGCCATTTTGGATTTGTCGTTGAGGAGGGCGAAGATGCGCCGGGCAGGGTTGGCACGACTCCCGAGCTGCGGGCGCGGCGCCTGAAGCAGTCCAGGAAGCAGCCCATGCCCCGGAAAGTAGTTGTCTGCTGCTCGGAACGCTGTAACCAGCTACAGCCGACCTCGGTCTGTTCGCAGCACCGAAAGAAACGCATCCCCAAGACGGGCCTGTTGCGGCCTCCGAGGCTCACATGCTGGCGCTGTAAATCGGAGGGGGGCTCTAGGCCCAGGAAGGCATTCAGGTGTCACAGCAGTTATCTTGTTCACATGTATTGGTGCCACTCGCGGGAGCGTCACCGCTGCTCACGCTGTGGCTTAGGCTTCAAGCACGGCTATCAGAGTTACCTGCATGCGAGGAAACAGCACAGCTAACCGAGGCTGCTTCCTCGCCTTATTTTTGTTTTTCATGTTTTGCTTTGCGCTACCGGTGAACTCGAAAGCCTCAAGTCGAGGCGCATATAGAAACAGCAGTTTCCATTCCCCTGAAGAGTTCTTTCAGGTGGATATTTTTCACTCGTGTTTTGTTGTCATTGAGCAAGGAAGTCGGAATGCCGTTTTGAATGGTTGCAGTTTATCAGGAAGGGTTGACAGCATATTTGTTTTGGGACATTCTGCTTTCGCTGATTTTATAATTGAAACACCCTGGATCTTCAGCTCAAACTACTCAATTGGTGCAATTTGTCATCCCATGTTGTATAGCACATTTCTATAATGTACAGTGCTAATCACACTTAACCAGAGTGCATGCTGCACCTTTTCCTGCAGGTTTTGTCTTTTATGTGTGCATGTTTTAACCGCACTAGTGCCAGCCGATGCCTTTGTAAGACCCTCCTACATCCATCTAACACCCTTGAGGTCCATAAATGTGTCTCATATAACATGCATCAGTTTTGTTGGCCTAGAAAAGTACAGTTAAGTGTGGTTAGCACAGTATGTATTGTTACAGACTGTGGTTACTTGTAAGGATATTGGTTAAATTGGGTGTGGTCGTGAAGTAATTTATCTTCTTGAGCAGTTTGTCTCTAGCAGGCAGGATGAAGCTTGTTCAAGCATGCATTCAAAAGTAGGGCTTGATAATTTCCTGCTTTGGTGGTTATGGCTTCTGTACAGTTTGAGAAGTTCTTTCAGCACCAACGAAATGTTGACCTTCACATACATTTTGTACATTTATGTTGCCTCTATTTTCCCAGTATAAGGCAATTTGTTGCTTTTTTAATGGTTGTATAAATTTCAGGTTTGAGAACTTACATCTTGGGTCTTTTTGTTTTTACTGTAAAAATTAGGGTTCCGTGTTTTTTTTGGTAAATACTGATAAACCCCGAAAATAAACCCCCAAACCAGTTTTATCAAAATTTAATAAAAAAAGAAAACCTGAAAAACCTTAGATTTTTTTATGAGAAGCACTCAAGCCTCATGGAAAGGAAATATATTATTTACAGCTTTATTTTGTAATAACCTGAAACAGAGCCCCCCCCCCCCCCTCCTTCCGAACTGTCCACAATGTTGCTCCTTTTTAAGGAGCTTATATAATTTCCTTCCCTTTGAAAAAAAAAGAACCCCGAGACCACACTTCCGAACTCAAAGAAAATAACCCAAAAAACGTGTAACCCTAGTGATAATATAACTGCAGCTTTATTTGGAAATTACTCTGAGGGCTCTTTAAGTCAGTCATTCGAGAAGTTTACATTTGGGGTGTCTATGTTTTAAGAGTATCCAACATGGCATCTGAAGTGCTCTGGTGGGCTGAAGTTAGTTGTACAACCTGAAGGGCCTTACTATACTGAGTTAACAAAAATGTAGGCACAAAATTGGTTTACTTGCACTTCCAGAATAGCCATATATTATTTTCGAAGCAAGATATTGGCCGTTAAAATTGCACTACTGCTCTTTTAAAAAAAATTAAATACCACTCGCGATGTTTGTAGAAAACGTGGGTGAATGTGCAATTTATTTTTGCTGCATAGTATGCTGTACTTTATTGGTTACAAATATGGTTAGTTGCAGAGGGTGCTACACCATTCTGATTTCCTTTTATAGATGTACTATATATGTATGCCAACACTATCATTCTGCCAAGTTGGTAGGGTTGGTGTACTTAACATTCCGTTTTCCTTGTTTTTTTACCGAGGAAATTTAGTTTTTTTTACATTGTACTATCACTCAATTTTAGTAAGGGCACATTTGATTTTTTTCTAGAGTGGATTGCACAACATGAGCTTGTTGAATAGATGTAGTTTTGACATTTTGCAGTGATATTTTAAGAGCTAGTTTTATATTATAAATATTACTAGGAAAGAATTTAGTTCAACTGCTGACTCCTTTTGAATTTGCATCTTGCAAGTTCCAAAGATACAACTTCTTTGCATAGGCTAACTTAATGTTTGCAGGCACTTGCAAAAACAAAATAAAACTTTTTGTAAGGAATGGATACATAAAAAATACCCTAAATTAAAAAAGAAAAGGTTTAAGATTTTTTTTTAAAAGAAAGTTCAGAAATCATACCAGCCTGTGAAATGTGTTTATGGCAATACTTTCATAGGCGAGCTGGTTGCAGGTACAGGGGTCAGCAGTACTCACTGAGCTTGCACAGTGCATAAACACTTCACTGGAATTTAGTTTCCAGCAACTTTTAATGCCATGTAGTTTTCACGGCATGTTCTTTGTAAACATGAATAGTTTTGTACACAGCGTCTGCAGCTCGTTTGTTGTAACTCCTATGCTTTTCTTCCCACGATTGAGCAGTGAGGGATTTTATTGTTATCCATACCAAGGGGTGCTGGGGAGATCCTTGCACTTTTATGAGGCTTTGGACAGTGTCCTGCATTCTACCTCATGTTTGTGATAGACTGTTTCTTTATGTTTAAGAATCAGTAGGTTCAGCAATATGTTTTAGCCTGCACGAGATTGTGGTTTTCAATGACTAGTTGGCGTTCTATTATTTTTACTCTTCATATCCTGGTTTTGCTCTTAATAGCTTCACTGGTTATTTATGCCACACACAACTAATTTGATTTTGTAATCAACATAATTTCAAGTGTTTTCAGCTGTTGGTGGAGACATTAGGGAGGTTATGGTTTCTGTGCAAACTACGTAAGGTATTGTTAATTTAGCAAAGCTGGGAACAGTCTAGCTGGTATTACTTTCAGACTCCTGCAGATGTCCAGTGCCTAGGTACGATGACTAACCTATTGGGCCCAAAATATTTTGCATTTTCAGTTTGCATACTGAATTCAGTACCTGCTGGTGGTTTGGTTTTAGGCGAAGTACATTAGTCATTTTAGGTGGTGAAGGTCAAATCAATGATGCACCATTCTAGCTAACCCAGTTTTCTTGGTGTTCTTGTTTTAAAACCGTTTGATTTAGTTTAAAGGATTTTGGTATGCAAGTCTTAGTGTGCCAAATCTTTTAGCACTGATTGAACACTGGAATTGGGCAGAGATTTATTTAAGTTGTTTTTATTGTTATATGTTTCATACTGTTCTAAATGAGATGTTCTACTACATTGTAGTCAGATTATATAATAGATTATGTGAGCTTTTGGGTTATTCTACAGGAGTAAGCAGAAAAGGGACATGAGGATGTTTCCTTGTGCATTTTCATGGGAGCAATGCAAGGTGGTGCAGGTTCATGTGCTTTGAAGTCACTTGCCTTTTGAGCTCAGGCATCCTGTGCATTTTCAAGCTTGCACCACATGTCTTGCAACCTTTGTTTTGTTTAGCACTGCAATCTTTGGTTATTTCTTGGGTTGCAGTTGGATTGCATCAGTAAGAGCTAAACAGAAGACATTGAACATTGTGATATCTGCTGTGACACTTGAACCCTGTTGAGCATGTGTTTCCATCTTTTTAAATGAGCAGGAGCAGAACCTTTCCTGGTGATATCTTGGCGATTGTTTCATTATTGTGCATGCTACAATCATACCTGTATATCCAATTTTTTTGGTAGTATGCATAGCGTGTGCTCCCCCAGGCTTTACGAAAGGAAACAGACCAGTCAGCTTCGACACAGACAGTGGCTGGATATGGGTGTGTAGATGTCTTTGACAAATTGGTGCATTCTGGCTGCTGCAAGTGTTCTGGATCAAAGCCAGGTCTGTAGTGTTTCCTTTCATATTGTTCGGGGAGTCCCTCTTAAGGGGCATGCAAACTGGTGGCGTGATTCGTGAACGGCTTCCCGCTCTGTTAAAAAAGCTGGACTCCCTTTCTATTTTTCTGTTTGAACACGACAGCGAGCCTTGGCAAGCTGTGATGGTCAGAGAGGGGGAAGCGATGTGACTGGCCCACCCCTACCAATGGAAATAAATGTCTCTGCCATGTGCGCGGTGCGTTTCACTGCACTGAGCGCCAGTTTTCATACCCCTTTATTTGTAGTGAGGTCATTTTTTTTTTTTTTTTTTTACAGATCTGAGACATCGTTTTTTTTTTCTCACTTAAATTGCACATTTTGCAAGTTGTCAGATTATTTCCAGTTGCATGTTACCATTTAAATACTGAATGTAAGTAAAAAAAGCATGCATTCATTATTTGGAAGGTTGGAAGTTGTGCAAAATTGTCATCTGCTATAGGAAAAAACAGTACTACTTTAGCATCCAAATGTCTACTATTTGTTTGTATTGTAGGGTACATGAAAAAAACATTTATGAAAAGTATGTAATTGGAACTGTATATTCAAAAATACACCACTTTTTTGCATTGTCTTTGTTTCTTAAATGTATAACTGCTTTTTCTTTTTATTGGGGGGGGGGGGGGGGGCGAGAGTTGTGGCTAACTCTAGTTTGAATCATGGTTCTTAGAGCGGTGCTTGTGCCACTCTTTGTATAGTGTCCAATGCTTAAAGAACGCAATCACAGGAAACAATTAATGAAATAGTGTAAGACAGTGGTGGCAGAGCATCATTCAGAGCCAAGTGCTTGAGGCCAGAGTTGCTTTTCATGTGTTCCAGATTACAGCAGAGAAATCGTGAGACAAAATGGCCCGTTGCCACCCACCATAATTCTTATTTGAAGAATTATGTCAAACTGTGGTAACTATAGTTGGTGATAGGTTAAAAATTCGGGGGAAACTCGTCCCACGTCTTTCCACTCGAGTTTGCTCTGCTAAAGCGGAAAGAGGTGAATGGCCGGGGGGAAAACGGTCTTTGCCCCGAAAGACCGTTTTCGTGGGACGGTTGCCACATTAATATATGGGGCCCATATCACATGAGCGAATGACGTTTTAGCGAATAACGGAGCGCATGTATTGTTACCCCCCCCCCCCCCCCCCCCCCCCGCGCGGCTGCGTACGCAGTTTTACGGCGGCAGCTTGCGGCGGCAGCTTATTACAAACATGTTAACCCACTTGGCCCACCCGTCTATTCCCTAAAGTGTGCGACATCTACCGAGTGCTCTTTGCTAATCCTTTAAATCGTTTTAAAATTCCTTTTTGTGACTTTTTTAAACAAGATATTGGTGTGTTCGATATGATACTGCTCCTTTGAACACATATGGACCAAAAAAATGAGCGCCGAAATTTTGTTGTAGTATCTCGGCAAAATTCGATTTTTTAACCTATTGCGCTACGATTTCGCTGCGTTTTTTAAAACTTGCAAAGAGCGAATTTATCTGATGAAAATGTAAAGAAAGCAAAAGGTTTAGCTCCTATGGAAACGCAGCGAAGCCACCGGTCTTCAAACAATACGGCGCCGTTTCGCACGGGAGACAAGAGATGGTGGAAGCGGTCGCGACGCCAACTGCCGCCAACGAACGAGCATACGGCGCCGAGGCGCCGAGAGCCGGCGTGTTTAGCAGACGATCTTTTTGACTCAAAAGCGGCGCGAGTTCCGCAGGCGGCGACAGTCGCAGAACCAAAATCAGGCGCGGTAAGAACAAGGAACTGCAAAGCAGAAAACATAAATACCCCCCCCCCCAAAAAAAAAAAAAAAAAAAAAATCGGAATAACCCGGAAAACTATTGTTTTGTGTCCATTCCATGTGTTTTATTAGTAAGGCTGATAAAAAATGCATTGGCAAGTGATATAAAAAAGCTCGCGCCGCTTTTGAGTCGAGAAGATCGTCTGCTAATGACGCCGGCTCTCGGCGCCGTATGCTCGTTCGTTGGCGGCAGTTGGCGACGCGGCCGCTTGCGCCGTCTCTTGTCTCCCGGGCCAAACGATACCCTAATCTTTGAAGACCGGTGGTTTTGCTGCTTTTCTATACTTTACTTCCTCAGGTAAGTTCGCTCTTTGCAAATTTTACAAAATAATGCACCATCTGTGGGCAACGCTGCACAAAATCGTAGCTTGATAGGTTAAGAAACTGAATTTTGCGGTCGATTTAAAGAGCCTGGCCGCTACTTGGGACACCCGGTATATTGTTCGAATGCTAAATTGTATGTCCGAGTCCTGTCCATCGGTAAACACGTTATTTGTGCGAGTGATATATGCATGCCTTTCGGCTGTCTTCTGGAGTAAATTATTTTCGACAGCTAAGCGCTTTGTGGTATGACACGCGGCTGAACGAGCGGCGCCGTAAAAAAAAAAAAAAGAGAAAAGAAAGAAAACACCGTAAAATAAAACAAACATTCTAGTTGCATTCGTTCTGTAGCGCGCGCGCACAACAAAATACTAAGTTAAAACTTTTTTTTTTTTTTTCACATGTGGTTCAATGTTTTTTTCAATGTCCTCGGGAAAATACATACACCATGAAACGCAAAAGAAACGGCGCTAAAAGACGAAAATTTAGCCTCCAGCTGTGTTTGAAATTGCGCCTATGCAGGCTGCACCTATCGAAATCACAGTTCACTCGGTTAGGGATAGCAGGGACGCAGGGACGCCGGCGAGAGACTAGCCTTAAAACTAGTGATTGGGCTCAAAAAAGTTATCTTGTTTCTAGGGCCGAGTGTTTCTTGGAAAATATCGCTCTTTGACGCTGCTTGATTGGTCCCACTGGCTTGTAGCATCGGCTACGCTTGACTTGAAGTGAAACGAAGATTTCTGGACAACCGCGCTGGTCGGTTGATGCGCTGCCCGGTTGATCGTCGACATCGTCTAAACTTCCAGACGATGTCGGCGATCTCGGGAGTTAAAAGTCGCTAGAAAACTGCAAGATAGTAGGATGGCGGACACTGTGGTAAGACAAAACCAAGGTCTTGTGCTCCTGAAGAGATCACTTGATTTTCATCTCTGCCACATAAGACCACTTCAGTAGTTGCCTGACCGGCGGGTAGAGGGCGCTGGCGCACTCGCCACCATTAGGTCCCTTCAATTTGGTTGGTTTCAGTTTCAACGTGTACTCGATTGAGTTTCTGTTTCATGCCGCTTTCGCTTAATTTTCTGATACAAATGTATTCTTTCTAGCTCACACCAAATAAAACAATGATACCGAGCCACTGGGAGAACCACGAAGTGGTTTTGAGCCTAAATTGGAAGCATTTTTGCAAACACCAGATGCGTCTGATTAAGTTCATCGTTAATTTCGGCCAGGTTCGGCGGTGAAACAACTTCGCTGATGCACAGGGAGGATTACCATCGTCCGTTTTCAGAGAAAAATAAATAAACAAAGAGCAGGGGGGGGGGGGGGGGGGGGGACTAGCTCCACCTCCAGCACACGCTTGTTGCCTGCCGCCGTGCTTTGACTGCGCGTGCACCGAGCGGTAGCTCGCTCTCAAGTCAGCGATTCGACTGCTCTTCTTAGATTGTAACAGACTATAATGCATGAGTGTGAAGAAGCAGGTCGACGACATGATTAAGAATCTGCTGATTCACGAAGAACAGATGAACCGACACGTTTACTGCTCGATGTCTGGTTTTCGTAGTCGTACACCGACTTTTTGTGAACTATACCGAGATACGGAAAAAGGTTTTCTTAGTGACGCAGAGAATCTAGAGAAGAAATAATATTGTACTGGTTTGTTTTCTTTAAAAAAAGTACTGGGGAGTAATATTTCGATAGACCAACCTGGGCCGAATAGGAAATTCCTGTAACAAAAGTAGTCATTCACAGCATTTCACAGTATCGTTCTCATGGTACGAGATAAGTGACAGGCCCGTCAAATAAAGTCTGACATTTAACTTCCGTAAACTTTGCCAAATAAAATTAAAGGGCGCAAGTGATGTGATTTCCGGCAAGTGGCTGAAATCGAACACCAGGGCCGGCTTGCTCGAAGCAGAGTCTCACTTGAGACTGCTCAAAGAAAGCGCTGTCAAGGCTAGCGCTCGAGCTTAAGCCGAGTCACAGACGCTCGCGCGTCCGAGTCTTGGCAGCGCTTTCTTTGAGCAGTCTCAACTGAGACACTTCTTCTAGCAAGCCGGCCCTGGTGCCACCCCAGACCTGTCTGCGTAGAAAGTTCTTTACTGGTTTGAACAGATGCGCTTTGTAGATTTCGGCGTCACCAGTCACCGAAAGTTAATCCCTATTCGCCGTCGACAACGCTGCACTTGGGTGGTTTTCATGCCGACGGATTCTTTTCGGCGTCACATATTGCGGACCCCAGGCACCCTCGAGCTGACTGCGATAGCTTCTTACACGGGGATTCCAAACCGTTGAAATGAATGAAATAAATTAAACATGGTTATTTTAGGAACATTATTTAAGCAGTTGAAAGACTGCAGACATGAGGTCAAGAACGGTGCACAATTTTTTTTAAATTCACAAATAAGCCGATCATTCGAATGCTTATATCGCAAAAACGATTAAGTACTACAATCAGATGTAGGTTTGATATCATGAACAAACAAATTGCCTGATCTTGATGTACCATTATTTCTGGCCTCATAAAAAAAAAATACAAGTTAAACGTTCGTTTTCTATCTTGTCCACGAGTTTACACATATAATCAAAAGCAACTTTTTTAGATATGTTATAAATTCGAAGAACGATACTTTCATAAAGCACATGTGGCTATTTACGCTGACTATGTTTCTCGATCACCTTTCTTGGGATCCTAAATGCGCAATCATATATACACTTTGTACTTCCAATCCCCAGTGTTGGGCCACTATCGGTAAGCAAACCTGAGTTGTCATAAGTATTGACCTTTGGAACCTCGTGCTGTCTTATCTTATACTCAATGTGCGTGAACGCTAACGCTCATTCCTGTACCATATAGCCTCTTCTTCGCATGTAGCCGGCACATCGAAGGTGAAAATAGTCAAAACATAATTATGTAATGCAATTAGGCGGTAACTATAAGTATCGGGTGTCACCTTTCGAAGTAAGGCGAGAAACGCGGTGAAATGCGACGAGAAACAGAAATTACGCGCACGCATCCGCCAAGGCGTGGAAGGGGAGCGGAGCGACGAGTTGAAGCAACCTAATGGCGGCCGCATCACGTGATTCCAAGATGGCAGCGCCCATGCGGCGGAGGGTGAAAAGGTCTTAAGCACGATCCAAACCAACGCTTCTTTTTGCTGCTGTAGGTCGTGCGCGCCCCGGATGTGACGTATTTTGTTACGTTTTTGCTGTTTCCGGTGCGCTTTCTGAGTCAGAACCGTGCGCTTTGGTTTGGACGGGCCAGCTTCGGGCAAGTGCGCACGTGCGCACGCAGGCACGAGCGCATTCTGGCGGTCACCTTCCTCGCGTCGGAAACGGGGGGAAAATTCATAGATGCAGCCATACTCGCAAGCAAGCAAAGTGCAACAGCGACAGACTGGCCGGCCAGACGGCGAAGAAACGCGGAGCCGGAACTAGCTTGCCCTCCACCGATTGGCCGGGACACAGAAG